TTACTTTAGTTTGTGTATACTTACTCCATACTGAATTTTTCTAGCCTTAATCTCCTGTATACAAGAGCATCTCAGAACTCTATTTTAAAGGAAGAAACTCTGACTCAAAGTTATTACTGGATTGTCCATGGTCACAAAGCTAATAACTATTAAAAGCAGTATTTTAATTAACTTCTCTTTTTACTCCAGGTTTAGCACTGTTTCCATACAATTAAGCTTTTTTTCTATTAAATTCCTAATCATGCATTTTTATGGTATGCATTCAACTCTGTGTTCTTGAAGACTATTTCAGTCAATCATGAAACATTTATTAAGCACCTACAATGTACCAGGCACCATGATTAGTGGAAAGTGAGCTCTGACAGATCCTACCAAGCTGGAAAGATTTCAAATATGGTGATGAATTATTTGTCCATTGTGCAAGGACTCTCCTGGCTAAGTTTCCCACCAGGTTGGCCAAAGTTCATTTTTTTTTTGTATCTCTCAAACACATTTACTATTATCACAGAGAAATTTCCATTCATGTCATTGGAGGAATTACAGACAATGTTGAAGTTATAGAAATCTGAAGTAGGAATTGAGATTTCTTAGAGATTTTACAAAGCCTAAATTAAAACTATTTCTTCATATGAGTTATTACCAAAAGCATTTTAGGCTAGACATAGTGGTGCACTCTTCTCATCCTGTTTCTGGGGCTGCTAATGTTGGTGGATCACTTGAACTCTGAAGTTCTAAGTTTTCTGGAGAGTTAAACCAATTGGGTGTCCCCATTAAGTGTGGTGATAACATGAAGAGCCTCAAAAAGGGCGATCCACCAGGTTGCCTAAGGAGGTACAAATTGAAACATGTCAGAAAAAGAGCAAGTCAAAACTTCCATAACAGTCAGAGGTGGGATTAACCATGGGATGTCCACTTCACTTCCAGTCTACGTTAAAAAAAAATAGACCCAATCTTCAAAAAATAATCATTTTAATAAAAAAAATTTCATTCTTATTAAAGGCATTAAAATTACTGTTTTTTCCTACCTCATAAAATAGAAGACTAAATCTAACAGGTCTTTCAAAGAAGTCATTCAGAGAATATTTTAAGCTCCAAATAAAATTAAAGATTACAAATTTTATCACTAAACTTCTTTGTAACAATGGGATGGAAACCTAGTAACAGAGATTTTAATCACATTAAAAGAAAGGCTTCACATATCCTTGGTACAGTAAAGGCTGATATGACTCATGTGAACCACTCCAAAAATTGATAGTAACACAGTAGGAAACATCAAATTTGGCTAACAATATGTTCAACTTAATTATCAATGTTTCAAACAATAGATATTCCAAAAATACTGTGTATATATATATATATATATATATATATATATATATATATATATATATATATATAAAACTCTGAAATATATCTATGATGGGAAGGAATTAGGATAGGCTCCATTCTAATTATGTACCTCTTATTCAAACCATTGAAATTACTGGGTTTTTTTATCTGCTGAGTATATATTCACTAGAGGAGATGGATTGAGCCCCCCAAATTATAGGTATATATTGAAGGTTCACAGCAGATTAATATGGATTCAAATTATTCTATAAGATAATCCACAAAATAAACTAGGAAAATATGAATATTTGAGCTGTATACATTTTAAATGTTACACTTTGTACTGCTTGCAAAAAATATATAGCACTTTACAGTTTACAAGCTTTGTGCACATCTAGCATGTCTGGAAGGACAGTATTGTGTCACCTCTGCCATTGGCTTTCATCACTGTCAAGCTGAATCCAGTCAAGAAACTATACATGTGGTTCTTTCCTACCATAAAAGGCATTGATTACCTAAAGGAAGAAAAAGGCCACATAGAACATTTCCCTTGAATGTTTGAACATCATCAGACATCATTGCTCATATTCCCCTGCCATGCTTTCACTCGTGATAAAACTGTTATTGCTTCCTGCCAGGATATGCCATTCATCAAAAGTCAGGCACTTAATTGGTCCTTCAAGGCCACTGAGAATCATAACCAGTGTCAATGAGACTATAGATTGTACTTCAAACAGGAGTTCTTCAAAGCCATCCGTAAAGTAGGTACTGGTGATCTTGGCTGCTAAGTGAGTGCATTTACATTTGAAAGTTTTCAGGCACTTCCCCATGTTCAAATTACATGTTATATGGTTACCATTAAAGTTGTTGCATGATTGTATTGAGCCTTGTACTGCATCTTGCTTCTGGACAGTTGTATCCTCCAGGTTCATGTAGCTCCTATGAACTACCATGGTGGATGAAATAACTTGTACTTCTGGTTTACATTGAGCCCTCAGGCTCCATTCCAGATTCCAGAAAGGAATAAGCCTTTCTGGTCTGCCACATATATGTGGGGTCATCTTTCTAATCAGTAGAAGAAATAACAAGATAACAATATTTTAAATATCATGGTGGGATAAGATTCAACACACAATGTATCATAACAGCCTTAGTGCACATTCTTCTTTTTCTCATTAATAATAATAATAATCAAAGTCTGTCACATTGAAGATGGAGATTGAGCCAACCATTTTTAAAAATTTAATTTTCTTGTTTCTTGTGAATTTAACAATCATCAGCAAACATTTCCATATACAAAAATGAAAAATAAAAGTGATTGCACAAAAATCTTGTCATCTGCAGCACCTAGAAAAATCTCTTTATTAAAAAAATCTTTATCAAAATAGACACTTAATAAATCTGCATTAAATTAATTATGAAACTTTTTTTCCCCTGGACTTATACAACTGAATTTATTTGGTCTTTGTGTAGGACTTTATATTTCACTGTGAAGCAATGTATAAACGTGAGTTTTCCCATCAAATATTATTATTATTATTATTATTATTATTATTATTATTATTATTATTATTTCTCCATGGAGATTCAGTTCAATTCAACAAACATTTATTTATTAAGTCATGATAAAAATTTTGACCTGGAAGGATTGAGGACAGAATGCCTTGGCATACCACCAAAAAAAAATTCCCTCAAGAATGATGTGGACTCAAATAATTAGTTCTGAGTTCTATTGTTCAACCTACTACAACTTCATCTAACTCTACCATTAATTCCCCATCTTAATTTTGTCCACTAGCCCATCATAATCAACTTTGTCAAATGTTTTGAAGAAATGAAGACCTTCCATATGTAAAGCATTCCCTTAATTTACAAGTCTAGCAAGACTATTCAATAAAGGAAATTAGATTAGTATATTAAGATTTGTTCTTAATTAATCCACTTTAGCTCTTAGTGATAACCTTTCTTTCATAAATTGTCTTTAAACAGCCCCCAGATAAAGTATTCATTGTGGTACAGTAGAAAGAGTACAGAATCTAGGATCACAACTTACCTTCGACACTTTGCTGGTGGGAACTTGGCAAATCATTGACACTCCCTCTGCCTCAATCTCCTTATCAATTAGATGAGGGAATTGAACTAGATGGCCACAAGTGCCAGGTGCTAGGTCAATGGATATCCATTTAAAATATTTGTTATTAATCAAAAGTCTATACACTCTAGAATCCACTTTCATCTTTTTAAAAAGTATATTTCCCATACAAAAGAATCCAGCATCTCTCAAATATTCCATTATTTCTCAATAAAAAGTCTGATAACAGTTTCTCAATCATTTATGTATTTTTTCCAGGATTTTAGCATTTAATTTATTTGAGAGTAGACTCTTGAAACATTCAGTGACTCAAAATAGCTACTGTGCTCTGGTACTCATTTCTCTCCTATTTTACACTCAATTCTCCTGTAATGTCACTTATTCTGCTCTTTCTAGTTGACAGATCATTCTTTTTTCCTGAAGAAGTCAGAAGATTGGAGCAAAAGCAGGACTTAAACAATTTCTTATTTTTGTGTCCTCTTTCCCAAAGAATATACTTCTCTCTTTCTTATTAATCTTCTTATTCTGAACGTAACTTAAGCAATGACAACATAAAATGCACTTATGAATTTTTTTATTTTTTTATTTTTTACAATTTGTAGCAAGTCTCAGCTTTTAACTTACAGCTTTTGATTCTCTCCTTAGGTTAATGACAATATTTTATACTTGCCTTTTTATGTGATTTTGCACTTTACTTTTGTCCATGTTCTTTTAAATTTGAGCTTATCAAAGAGTTCCTTCTGTAGCCACATTATTTTCTTTAGCAGATTTTCATTTTTTTGTTTATTACAAAAACTGTTTGCAATTGCATTTCATAAGTTTGCCATATTTCCTGAGTCATGTCACCATTGTGTTTCTAGCTTTTTCAACATATCTTCAAAAAACAACTTTCCTCCAGTCTACATACGCATACATGTTCTGTCATTTTCATGTTTGTCCCATTACCCTCTTTGAGCATAAGGTTCCAAAAAGTAAAAATCAAGGCCCAGAATCATAGAATGTGAGCTTAAAAGTAATGATGGACATGATTTAGTCTGACTTCCCCATTTCACAGATGGGATAACTGAGGCCCGAAGTGGTTGTTACTTGTCTGATACCTCACAGCTATTAACAGAACTTGGACTAAACTCCAATTCCAAATTCAGGACTTTCTTCTACTACACCATAAGTTGTCTAATTCTAATAATTTTCTGCCTGCTACCACTGTTCAACAAATCATAGAATACTAGACATTATAGTATGATCTTCGGTTCCAGGCTTCCAGATCAATAATATTGTCACCAAGATTGAAGCCATTAAAAAAAAATCCCAGATATTGTATTTTCCTCAACATTCTCTTAAACACTCCAGAAAAAGCCATATGCCCTTGCAGTAGCCAGGAGCAAAACAGGTGACACAGGTGTGATTCCGAGTGATTGATTGACGACCCTATTTTCCCCTTCCCACTTTTCTCGTGGCTTCCAGGAAGCATATCCCCTTGGTGGACTCTCAGAGCTTTCCCAATCTCCTTCCCAGGCGGCCGCTAAAACAAGGAGAAGCGGAATCTCACAGCACATGGGAGGTTAGTGTGGTTCCACTAGGGCAACTGGGCATGCTCAGTAGCCAGGACAGGTTTTGGTCTCAAGTAGGCAGCCAGTGCATTACACCGGCGTTAGGCAGTGAGGGAGCTAAGGAAAGGCAGCTGCAGCAAGAGGAGGAAGAAGAGGAAGAGGAGCAGGAAGAAAAGGAGGAAGAATAGAGAAGGGGTGGGAGCAGCACTGAGGAAAACAGCCACCCCTGGGCGAAGGAAGAGTTTGTGGGGAGTGGACGGGTGGGTGGTGAAAAAGACTCCTTCCACTTCCAGTGTCTTGTGCCTGCTTTGGGAACAGAAGAGGAAGAAAAATTTTAAAAGGAAAGAAAGAAAAAGAAAAGGAGTGAGGAGAGAAAGGGAGTAGGGGGATAAAAGACGGTGGGAAAAGAAAAGGCAAGAAAGCGCTGCAGGGAAGGGATCCCAGCAAGCCCGGGGGTGGTAGCGTGGAGCCGGCGCGGCTGCTTGGACAGGTGCCGCTGCCCCGGAGAAGAAGGCATGTGACGCGGCGGCCGCCGCTGCCTGTCGGCAGAGCGCTCGCTAGACCTGGAGCCTACACCCCGGGTGGGGGACTGGTTCCCCTTCTTTCTTTATTCCGTGTCCGCGGACTCTACAGAGCTTCGGGTTTGATCATGAAACGGAATCTACAAAGCGTGAATCTGGTTGGGCATCTTGGTCCTAGGTCATTTGCTCGTTGATCCTACCTAGGACAGGAGGAGGAGGAGGCAGAAAGTGGGGTGACGATTCTGGGCACCTTTGTGAGGGCACCGGAAGGGTCCTGAAAAGGCGGAGGTACCTGCAGTGCTCTAAGGTCCGGGCCACCAGGTAAGGAAGGGGCCAAGAGCCCAGGGCTATGGGAAAGGGTGGTGCCCGGGTGTACTGAACCTTCTTGCATTTGCGCGTTGTTATCTGGAGGAAAAAAAGTTTTCAGCTCTGGTGGGAAAGGTCTTTCTTCACCGGAGTAGAAACAACAGAGCTGGGGCGAATGAAGAAAAGGATTGCTCCATCTCTTCTCCTCGAGCTGCTTGCACCAGGACAGCGCATAATAGGGTGGAGATAGGAATGGGGGACAGTGAGGGGACTGCCTTTGTCACAAAGGGGTACCCCGAAAGGACTGACCATGGCGAATTGCACCTGGGGGTCCCCCACGACGCCTACTGGTTCGTTTACTTTCTTCCAGGTGACAGATCTCTGACTTGGAAGGACGTGGTGCCTAGGCGAAAATACTCTTATAGCGTCTTGATTTTTTTTTTTGCCCCGTTATTTAAAGGTGAGCAGAGCAGAGATAAGCTCAGTCTTTCAGTGGATCATCTTGATCGATTTGCGTTTCGGTGGGGGCAGGGTGGGGGGTAAGTGAGTCGAGATCTGAGACTTGAGCAACACCTAGGTGAAGGTACGCAGCTCCGCGCGCGTCTCTACAGTCGGGGCAAGGAGTCATCCAAAGTTGCGGAGCAGCTGCTGAACTACATCCCTATTTCTTAACCAGAACTGTCAGTCCCCTACTTGATTCATTTTAGGAATGTTAGTTAGCTGGACTGTTTTGTTTTTCCTTTTCTTTCTTTCTCTTTCTTTTTAGCTACGTAGAAGAGGGGAACTTGACTTATGTAATAGAATTCGCTTGTATACTTAGTAGGGTGTGCATGTTGGAATTTTGAGCCTGTTAAGATTGTGTGTATGTGCCCATGAATGTTTAACTCTTTTGCTGTTCATAAAGTGGAAATGTTACAAGGAGCTAAGGACTGGGAAATTTATTGAATACAGAAATTTCTCAAGGATATGATGAATAATTTATTGGCATGCGTTATTTAAACTGTTGTGGCAGGGTTCAAAGAGCTATTTCTCTCTCTGTGTCTCTTTAGTCAAGGGTACTGCTGATGTTTTCGATAGCTAAGAGAATATTACATTTCTCATGACAGTTGGGTTGTTGAGGAAAATGAAGCTTTTTAACGTATGTTGTCACAGTGGTTAGATTGCTCAATTTGATTTCAAACAGGACTTTGTGTCATTTTTCTTTGTAATTCTGTAAATCTATCCAATTCTGAGTGGCTAAAAAAAATCTACCTAAGGGTCCCTTTTAAGACTGCATTTGCACAAGTAAGCCCCCAAAGATTTCAGTAGGCAAAGAGTGTTATGACAAACTAACATGGATCAACATTGCCAGTGCTTAAAACAGAGTCCAAGTATTTGCTTTAGATAAAGCCTCTGATGAATAATAATATTCACTCCATAAAGTGTGAATTTGAGCTCAGATTTCAAACAGAACTTGCATGTTTATTTCGGTAATGTAAAGATTTTCTAGGGTCTTTCCCAAATATGTTGCTGTATGTACAAGGTGGGGGGGCACCCCCTTGTAATAGGAACTGGTATTGCTAGGTATAAATGCACACAGAAAATGCCTGTTTGTCATTGGTTCTTGTGTGTGTGTATGTGTGTGTGTGTGTGCGCACGCGCATGTGCATGTGCATGCTTGTGCGTGTTCTAACATCTCTTATTTTTGGCTGCATTATCTAATCTTTCACAGAAAATGCTGAACAGATCATTACACAGCTAATAATGTGCCTGAATTTAAATTTTCTTTAATTTTTTTCCACAAGCAATTGGCACAATAGGGTCATTCTGATAGAATAGAATTTATGTTTGACATGACTACTTCCATTTAAGAATTTATCATACAGGTGTAATAGATTGTATCCACCTTTCTGATCCAGAAAGCCTATTTCTTTTGTATGACTGTCAATATGTTTGTCTTCTATTCATATTTGAAAGATTCTTTAAAATGGAAAATCTGTGATGACAGTTAACCTAATATGATAGAACTTTTCATTGAATTGAAAATTTTATTTCTTTTTACTTTAAACAATAAAGAATTCAGTGTAAACTTTGAAGAATTGAGTCACTTGAGAAGTTAGGTGTGGAGATAAAGTTTCTTAGAATACTACTGTAAATCTGTTAAAAGAGCTTTTGGTTTATATGAGAATTGCTTTCAAGAAGATTGATAGTCTTATGTAAGTAACATATTTGCATTAACCTGTAAAGTTAATATAAGAGTACATGAAGTATAGTAAAATATGGCAGTACTAATTCTCTTCCCTGCCAAACCCCCCTTCCCAATCATTTCTATCTTTCTGGTGCTTTAAATACCCCCTCTCCCCCCCACCCCCCGCAACAGGGATTTGAACATACATATACTGAAGAAGCATAGCTAATTTATTACCATTTAGAACCCTGTTTGATCTTTTGCTTTTGAGTTACATAGAGTGTAAAGGAGGCAGCCACTTTAGATGGTGTTCAGTGTGTGTACTTCTTGCGTAATACTGAGACATTAATGCAGATAACTTGTTGAGGATGAAACAGGAATGGGAATGAAGCTGGGATTTCTTTCATATGGAGAGCTTCCAGGGGTGGAAAATCCTTGTCCCAATGCACGTTGGCATTCTCTCTGCCACTTAAAGAACACTAGAAGGTAAATGACTTGCCTAGTTACACAGCCAGAAAGTGTCAAAGACAGAACTCAAATCCAAGTCTTTCTGTCTTTGACACCAGCCGTCTAGTTGCTCTGCTGTGCTGTGTTTCATTGAGAACGTGACTGAAAAAAATACTCCAAAATTGCCATTTATAGAATTATTTGTATCAAAAAATAATTTGAGTAGAGAGAAAATTAACAGATTTTTAAAAAAAACTTGTTTAGATAACTTCAGTTATGGATTTGTTTCAGATTTCTATTTAAAAGTTCTTCATTTTTTTAAATGAAATGATTCTAACTAAAAACATAATTTCCTTTCCTCTTTCCCTCACCACCATGCTTCTCACCCCCACACCAGTGCCCCCAATGGACATGCTGTTCTGGCATATTAACACTTGTCACTGGGAGAAATAGATACCCTTTCTTAAATGGTCTGGCTACATCTCATGTGAGGATGAAGAAACTGGGTTGTTCTGTTTGCAATTCAAGGAAGTTTATATTCTGAACAGCTGTGGTGTAGTGCCACTTCAAAAGATGAGATGAATGAACTGTGAATCATATGAAGAAAGGGACTCAGATCTGTGTGTATGGGAGAAATGCATCAAGGCTTTACTTACATAATGGAACATAATTATCTTGCTGTAATATATTATTACAAATAGCAATATACTCACATTATGGCTTGGTTTTAAAGTTTCGGTGAGGAACTGGACAGGATGTCTTTCTCCTTGTGAATGAAGGTGTAAAAGGTATATTTTACTCAAGAGAAAAACAAAAACCAGGACATAACTCTACTTATAAATGTTAGCTTTTATATCAATCAAAATCATTACATTTACATAGTATTTAATTGGAGATAGGAATACAGTTGCAAATAAGTAATTGCAATCTTATTTCATGGAGAGAGGTTGAGAGAAGAGGCAGTACATACCTTTCCTCAATTTAATTGACATTGATATTGTGGCTGGTTGAATTCTGCAGAATAACTCACCACACTTTCTCTCCCCCTCCCCCACTCCCACCAATTGGATATAGAATTTCAAGTGGGTGTACCTATGGCAAAATTAAATGAAAAATCTAGATTTAAAAAAGGTGGAGATCATTCAGCTAACTTCATAGGAAAAAAATCAGACTCATTTAAATGTTATTTCCTTTATCCTCAACAAACCCAATTATCTCACTCTTGATTCAAAACAATTATGTTTTCTCTTTTTTTCAAGGTTCTGCTCAGGTGTCTCCCTTTGCAGCATTCAGTGGTTTGTTGTCCTGAACTGATAGTGATTTCTCTTTCCTGGAACTTTTTAAAGCTTGTTGTCTAAACCTTTCTCATGTCATTATTCATTTTGTAGTGTACTCATGTACATGTCCTATTTTTTTTCAATTTTTAACATTTTTATTTATTTTTGAGTTCCAAATTCTGTGCTTTCCTCTCTCTCTCTGCATCCCCATTCCTGAGATGGTAAGCCATCAAATATAAGTTATGCATGTGCAATTATGGAAAACATTTCCATATTATTCATTTTGTACAAGAAGATTCAAATAAAAGAAAAAAATGAAAGTGAACAATAGTGTGCATCAGTCTGTATTCAAACAATATCAATTCTTTCTCTGGAGGTAGATAGTATGCTTCACCATTAGTCCTTTGGAATTGTCTTGGATCATTGTATTACTGAGAATACTTAAGTATTTCACAATTCTTCATCAGACAATATTACTGTTGCTGTGTACAGTGTTTTCTGGTTCTGTTCACTTCACCATGTGTCAATTTGTGAAAGTCTTTCCAGGTTTTTCTGAGGTTATCCTGCTTGTTATTTCTTATAACACAATAACATTCCATTACAATCACATACCACAACCTGTTTTGTCATTCCTCAATTGATGGATATCCCTTTGATTTCCAATTGTTATCCACCACAAAAAGAGCTGCTATAAATATTTTTGTACAATAGGTCCTTTTCCTTTTCCTTTTTTATATCTTTGGGACATAGACTTAGCAGTGGTATTGCTGGATGAAAGGGTATGCAGTTTTGCAACCCTTTTGGCATAGTTCCAAATTGTGCTCCAGAATGGTTGTACCAGTTTACAACTCCATCAAAAGTGCATTAGTGTACCAGTTTTCCATATCCTCTCCAACATCCAACATTTTCCTTTTCTGTCATGTTACTCAATCTGATAGGTGTAAGGTGGTACCTCAGAATTGATTTAATTTGCATTTTGATAATCATGATTAGATCATTTTTATATGACTATGGATAGATTTCATTTTTTTGTCTGAAAACTGCTTGTTTTCAATGGTCCTTTGACCATTTATCAATTGGAGAATGACTTGTATTTTTATAAATTTTACTCAGGTCTCTTTATA